AGTAATACAATGCAGTCAAGTGCCTCAAGAGGCTTTGTCTGAGCCGCTCTCCCCCGACGCCACGAAGCCTTTCGGATTACGATATTGCAACTGCTTTTGCCCAAAAAACTCAAGATAAATGTTTGCTTGAGAGGTTTTCAAATAGTTGTGCAGTTGCGTGTTGCAGTTTTTATATCACTAATGCTATTATAATTTTGAAAATGTTATTCATACAAAAATGCGATACGCTACTATGATATTAATGCAGGCGCTACAATATAATTAAAAATTACTTTCAACTTATAACATTTATCGAAGTTATATTCGATATACGTTACGTTATTATTAAAGTTAATGTAATTTTAATTACGAGCATATTTAAGTGTAGTAAAACAACGTTGAATTAATCTAGTTAGTTTTAATTCGTTAATGAAATCATGTCAAGTAGTATACTTAACTTTTTCACGTAACATTTGTTTCGGTCTTCAAAAATGTTTGCAATCTCAGGTAAATAAATTCCTACAACTTTATCGCCAAAAACATTTTGCCAAGAACCGTTGTGGAAGTTAATCGGGATATTATACAGAAATGGAGAACAGTTTCTTTGTTTTAATTCGGGGTAACAATTAAACCCTTAATAAATTATTCTCCACACATTCGTGGGGGGGATTACCGAATTATATGTATGTCAACTAAGCTCAAGCTCAGTTGTGTCCAAACACAACACTTCTTTGTTTTCGATATGCTGACAATCAACATTTGGTATCGATTCGATTAGATTAAATTGAACATGGCTTTCGTACTTACCATAGAGATCACGCGATCACGACGACGAATCTTTAGGTTTTTTCACAAGCCCCATATTTCCTATGTTTAATATGCGACTTGGGCACTTAGCGAAGCGATATTAACGTAACAATGCATACTACAGACACTGGTATAGTAGACTAAGAGCTAGTGAACGCCAGACCTACGTCATTTTATAAAAGCTGAAAGTTTGTCAGCGTATGCTCCCAATATAGGATATAATGTTGGTGAATTATGAAGTTTAAGACGTGGTGGCTTTGGGAGCTACCCTAAAAAAACTGTCTGGCTAGAAGTTGGAACTGTCAAAACTGTCTGGCTGTTGGGGAAAATACTTCTAATTATTGCCCAAATGTTATTACATAAAAATCAGATTTAATAGTATAACGTAAGTCTAACTTTTACGGTGGCTTTTTCTGTATGTTCAAAAGACTGTAATTCTACTAACGTTATACTCGTACCATTAAATCTGATTTTTATGTATAATATTTGGACAATAATAAGAAGTATTTTCCCCAACAGCCAGACAGTTTTGACAGTTCCAACTCCTTGAAAGACAGTTTTTTTAGGGTAGCTCCCAAAGCCACCACGACCCAAACTTCATAATTCACCAACATTATATCCTATATTGGGAGCATACGCTGACAAACTTTCAGCTTTTATAAAATGACGTAGGTCTGGCGTTCACTAGCTCTTAGTCTATAGTGTTTTGGACTGTAGATGACATAGCTGCCCAGCATGGCTCAATCGAACCACACGACGTAACTTCATAAGTTCATGATTCCTCACTGTTGTTTAAGAACTATAAGTACATCACTTTTTGCCATAGCTTTTTGTGTGTAATTTGTTGACCTTGTCAGGGGACCATGTAATTTAACATTAGTCAATTGTCAGTCAACTCCAGCCCACCACCTTTATTACCATGAATGAACAATGAAATGATTCTCATTTCATCATTACTTGCCTAGAAATTATTGGCCCTTCGTTGAACCATATCGTAGGTGTACAGGTCAGCTTTGAACTCCAATCTGGCTCCTATTAATCAAGCAATACTGAATTGTATGCCTTGGTAACACGAGTTATATCTACCCTTATAATTAAGCGTAAATACATTACATTACATCGAAGGAACTAGAAATGTTAGCTGTTCTCGAAGGCGATTATGCGCAGTCCAATTTGACCCGTAACTTGAAATAAATAGATGACAACTCCTTGGTTCTGGTGTAAGTTAAGTTGCATTGAAATATTAACCCTTTATTTGTCACAAAAATTCAGTTATTTAAGTGCCCAAAGGTCTGATTTTGCATCTAATACCTACATTGTTTATATTTCAGGTAAACAATATTAACTGTTCATTTTAAACAAAAACGCCAGCTTTAAATGTATTTATAATAACTTCAACTTAATCCTAAGGTACGCTTCTCTATTAAAATACAAATAAACTACGAGAACAATGCATGAAGTCCAATAATATAAAACATGAAGCAGTGTTCACTTCTCACTTTCATATTTACATGGTCGACCCGGTCAATCTGCCTTGTAATAGTTCTGAGCTTACCTCAGGCTTCTCTGTGTAGGAATGCGACGCAGAACCGCTACCACTTCACTCTTCCAACATTCAGGAATTCCTTTACTAAAAGCTTTCTCTTATACACTGCTGGTTTCCTACTGAGATTTTAATATTTCATAGTAACGGCGCAGTAATGCAGCCGCTACAATTCGTAGCCGTAGACGCAGCCGTGTAGCATTAGTTCGTAGTGCGCGCCCCAAGTCAACTTTCTTATAGAGTTCAACGCGCGCTAGGCAACTACTACGCATACAAGTTATCTCGGTAAGGCAAATAATATGACCTAATTACATAATCGTAGTCCTAAGCTTTGATAAATAAAAAACTGGCCAAGTGTGTGTCGGGTCAAGCGCAATATATGATTTTGTAGTTGCTCCAGGTTTTAATTTATAGGCAAAAAGCCATAATTTTTTAAGTGTTTACATGTTTAAGTTACAAATACCATTTACTTGTAAAGCCTTAGCTGTGGTAGTTTTACTTTTTACTTCAGTTTGCCTTTGTTCGATCTTTTACAGTGGAATTTTGACTTTTAAGAGTTTATTTCATAGCTTTGCACCAGATCGTAAATCGAGTCTCGGTCAAATGTAAGGTCGCCTAAGTCGTTTTACTACAGAACCCTAAACTGCTTAACAGAAAAGTTTATTTTACACTTGCGCAAACGCAGTCAAAGCAATGTCGCTTTAAACTAAACCAACGGTTTGTTCATTTTGTTAACCTTTTATAACACAATAAAACTAATGCTTATTAAATACATGTTTTGTCTAAAAGAGATTAGAGTATAATAAGATACATTTCCATTAACAAGTTAATACAATTAATGTGCTTAATGGCTTGTAATCTAATACGTTTGGAATGGTCAATTAAACTGATCATATACCGAGTATATAAAATAAAGTGGAATTATATTTTAACGAATCATTTATTTGTTTTTGAAATATTTTATAGAAGACGCCTAATGTCTGCGTTTTAAATATTCATAAGAGAGCGCCGATGGTTCAAAATGCCCGTTAGGTATTCGGAGATCAGCCATTTCTTCATAAATTTGATAAACTAACATCGGTATGCGCACCGGTTTTACATGATTAGCGAAGATGGCAAAAAAAATTTATTAATATAAGATTTTAACTAAGTAGGTTTTTATTTAAGTTTGAGTTGTCGTTTCTTAAATCACACATCGTTAATTACCTATCTTGAAACTTACGTGACTCTAGACGTTGAAAATTCAAAATATTGTTAATGATATGCATTTTCGAAGTTTTGGCAAGGGATCAAAGTCAAACATGAACATAAACGTTTAAGATGTAAATAAATCGTACAGGTCGAAGGCTTTGTTTGGAAATTCCTGTTTTAAAAACAATGCGTGCCAAGGGTCACATCACACGTCTCTCCTAGACGCGTCGGCTAAAGCCTTTCCAAAAGTTCCAAGTGGTTATTTAACTAAAATATGATATTTTTTAAACATCAGTTGTTAAATGTTAAAAAAAAGATGAACAATGCATTATTAACTCCAAATATCGACTCTTGTTGAATATAGTTCCGATTCAATCGATTTTCCGTTCGATAGGTTTGCTGCCATTTTTATGTATTAGATATTCCTTAAATATAGGGCAAAAGTCAGTTCATAAAATAATATGGGGCTGATATTTGATCAAAAATAATCAAACAGCTTACGAATGTGAACACTGTCAACAAAAATAAGTATGTAAAGAACATCAAAATAACGGAATATTCATATTTCAATATGGTCATTGATAATTAAGAAAAACAAATTATCAACTTGTAAATTGATATCCGATTTTAACGCCATAAGTATGTATATGTTTTGATCAAACCACCACAGCTTACCGAGCCCTCAAAAGCTTCAATCCAAAAATCACACAGTCATACCATATCGAAACAGTATACTAATGAACGTAGCGTCAGATCAATTTAATTGCCTCCGTATATTAGATCAGATAGCCACAAAAGGTACGAGGACCAACAATAAGTTTTTTCGGTGTTCAATTTTTATTTGTATCGGTATTAGCACGGGCGTACAATGCGTAGTTATTAAACTTTTGTTGCGTGGCTTTTTTGAACGTACGCCGTACGCCTTATCGACTATGGCGCATACCTGCGTCCTTCTCGAGTTTACCTGGCGAGAGAGGGCAGAGCGAGCCATAGCCCTTAGATTCGGTAGACACGCCAAATTCCTAAAAATGCTTATGATATTTTTTAAAAGTGGTAGGTACTTAGCAATAAAACATTAAATGGTGATTTAGCTTTCTTGGAGCTTCCTTCTTAGAAAGAACTTAGAGATATCAAAATTAGTATAAAGATTTTATTTTGGTTAACTTTAGAATGACAAGTATTACAAATCATTACACTTTTAGTATAATTTTGTTCTAAATCAATCGTAATAAGATTAAACATTTTACATAACGAGCTTTTCAATAAGCTTCATTTCAAATTCATACAGTTTTATTAAAGTAAAATCAAATGCAACAAATTGCATTAAGCTCTCAACATCTGCAATAAATCAAATTCGACTGTATCGACAACTTAATCGGCGAACATTAATTTTCCCGCCTAAACACCCGAAAGGCCGCGTCTCGACGTTGCGAGCGCTGTGGATGCGCGGGCGCACCGCGGCTCTCAAACCGGGCGGGCCAGTACACGATGGAAGTTACTGCCGTACGCTTGTGTCTCGAGCGACCCCGCGAGTGATGTCGCAGCATGGTTGCTGCCCGTGTGATCCTCTGTTGCCTGTGCGTGATATATCTCGTGACCGCCGCGGCCGCCGCCCGGTCCCACCGACACCCCACACAACCTTCGCGCCATAAACCAAAACACTCGGAATTCGTTAAAGGAAAAAGTAAGTTTTCAAACCGCCCACGATTACCACAGAACTCCTGCACTTCTTACTTATATACTTTTATGTATGACCCGATAAACCAACACAAATTATACGTGCCCAGACCGTAAAATGCCACCGTAAATAAACGGGTGCGAGCTAATCGCTGGAATAAAATAAACAAAGCTTATCTCGTGGCAGCAAATGTAGCCTTATATAGCTCGGAAAGCTGGCCTGGCCGTAGGCCGTAGCTTCGTAACAGGCTGCGCTGCGCGTACGCCGACGAAACAATTAAATCTCACTTTGTATGTGACGATGTTCCTTTGAAAGGAACGAGAAACAATATCCTTTGAGATGAAAGTCTTTGTGGATGGGAAGGTGTACTACTTTTGTGGAGCGTTCAACTCTCTGCGGTTGCTTGTTTCCTTTATATCTCTATGTTATTGTGGACAATCGCTTCACTTAAGTTGCTGTATTAAGAGTTCCAGCGGCTTGGTCATCTACAATTTGGACACGAGTCGATAATTTGTTTCGCGATTTGACACGCAATACTGTCGCAATTGTTTGTATCGGTAATTTTATAAACACGTTTCAAGTATCTGATTGTTGATCAAACTAACCAAATACTTGTAAACTGATTGTTATGAAACAAATTCAATGTAAACAAAACAGTAGGTAATATTTAGTGTTTAAAGAAACCTTTTGTATGTAAGGGGACAGAGCTGAGCTTTATTAGACCCTAGAAAAAAGGCTTAAATTCTTCTTACTGGATGTGTAACTATAGCTTACATTCCTATGACCATACGTAGATTGCCCATCAACAATCATGCAAAAACTACCTATGGTTTTTCTAGCGCATTCTCAATGAGATGACCTATCAAAGTAATATTACTTCGTTACTTAAATTACACTTTTATTGATCAATATCGTCAATAGGTGCGTGGTGAAGCTTTTCTTTCGCAGATCTAGTCCCATTACGAACGCTTTTGATAGATTCTGATCGAATATGAAGCTGCAAGGACAGCTTACTAAAGCTTAGGACTTTGAGCCGCGCTTTGATTTGACATTTCAATTTGATTTCGATCAGATAATTATGAAGCGTGACTAGATCAGCCATACATTCGGAGACCAAACGAGTAGATAGATGCTCTCCGACGAATTTGACTCGTGAGCGCGCACCTTAATGCTAATGGAACATGAAGCGAGGTTTCTAATTAACTGATCGGGACTCGAACCTACATTCGGGCATTTAGCACGGTGCAGTTAACAGAATTCGTCGTTTCGTCTCGACCGCGACGGCCGTAAGTCGTAACTCTAAACGTGTTTTGGCCGATTGTTACAGATTTATTGCGTAGGCTTTGAAAGCTCCATTGTTTTGCCCTATAACATGTATGGCCGCAACTGAACCTTGGAATAACGATTGACCGACATGAACTTAAGTACCACTAACTCAAATGCAAGGTTTCAGAAAGATCAGAGGGACAAATAAATAGGCTAAAACTTTCGCTTAACAATTTAAATACTCGTATAAAATTTATAAAACCATTTTGTATTAACTTAGCTACGATGGTATTTTAATAGTTAATCTCCCATAAAAACTTTTAGGGGTCTACTTATTTCTAATACGATGTTCTCTGCTCGATGTTGGCTTTTGATTTTGTTTTATTACCTTTCACTTTGCTGTCGCTGCTTATAAATTTCACTGTGAAGTAGTTCCTTGGACCATAATATATATACATATTAATAAAACAATCATTATTTGAATTCTTTATTGGAAAATATACCAAATTGAAAGATACATGCTTAAAAACTAAACTTGCTCACATAACAGTAATCGGTTATGTCATCACATCACACATTTATAACAAGGTTCTCAGTATGGTTAGCTACTCGGCTTATAAGTTATAAGTCGTTCATACCAAACTTCAATAAGATGGCAAAGATATATAAAACGAAACTGTCAGTCGCAGTTATGTTTAATATGTTTATAACATTATTGAATACAATTCTGTAAGATACAATACAGAGTTTGACTAGTTCCAAGAAGTAGGTACTATTCCTGAAAGAGCTTCCAGAATCCAGTAGTTAAGTAGAGTAATCCTACAATATACTTCGGCAATCATGTTTAAGATGGTTTATGTTAAGAGAAAATTAAAGGCTTAATAGTGTTAAATGTTATGAAAAAGCGTTGCAATACCGCCAAAGTTATTGTCTCGGATAAAACACGTACTTTGCACACTACTAGAGTTAACAACTGCCCGTTGGTAAACTGTAAACACTATAGGTTTAATAATAAAGGGATTGTATTGTAGATTTCACTATAAATGGACTCCAATATACATAAATAAATGATTTCTCTGTGAGAACTTTAACGGTTGTCAGATTATTGCAACTTTGGGCTTAGACTTGCGTAAATTGTGAATTCTAATGACAATTCCTATTGACTAAATGGAGGCTTCGACGTTAATAACGCCTTATTTACAGTCTTAGAAATAACTCGATAGTGGAACTCTGATATTTATGAGGTGGATATTAAAACCAATACAAAATAGTCTCTGTTAAGTAACAGAATCATAACAGTCATTTAACACGTTCTTCTTTTGTAAGTAGGAAAACTTTGGATCATCCTTTCGCGCGGTACCTAAATCAATATTTTGTTCTGCAACTCTTAATTTTAGTACAATTTTCTCCATTCTATTTATTTATTCCATACTATTTTCTCTTCTAATATATTTTATATCAGAAGCTGCTTTATCGGATAAAAACTAAACAGGAAAATATAGTTAATAATACAAATAAGTATGTACTGACCAAGAAGTATTGAACATGGCCACCCGGATAATACATCGATTTGTAGATATTGTATAAATAATGACGTTGTTTCGACGTGCGTACTTATGTCGACGTTAGCATATGAAGTCGACAAGGGATTCAAATCTTGATTTTCCTATATTTTGGGCTTGAAAAGCCATAAATCTTGTTTGAGTATTTAAAAACTGGTTCTAATAATATAGGTTAATTTGACAGTTCCTTTTATAGTCTGTCTACGAATCCAAGGCCTCTTTAATACTCACCTTTTTAATAGTTTTTGGTATTTAAAACTGAGCCGGCGGATTTCAGCTAGTCTGTGGATGGATGCATGAAAAACCCTGAACTTTTATGACCTTCGTTACAAGTACAATACGAGATTTCGGAATCATGAATGTAAAGATATTTATTATGAATTATTTATTATGTAGCTGTTGATCAATATTGTTCTCCAACGGGATGTATTTGAATCTATTTTCATGCGCATGTTTCACTTAAGTATGATAAAGTTTGTATAAATACATAATCGATGTATAATCGCATATATCTGTTTCGTTATTGTCTTGATATTTTTAATGGAAACTGAAAACTTTACAAACTCAATGTTTATGAAGTAGCTTTTATATCATTCTGTGCCTGGGAAAACATAATTTATTGTGGTATTTATTGCCATATCACAGTCGAAAGGTTTTCATACATAATGCAGTCGTAAACGCATCCTTGTTGCACCCAATGCTATTCTAAGAAATTGTTATTCCCATATTCCATGAAGCCTAGAAGCCTGCACGCACATGCCTTTCTTAATAGTTTTCAATTGTTCAGTATGCAGAATGCACATTATTTATATGACAATAAATTATTACGAGCATATTACCATTCATGTGAAAATTGAAGCATGAGAAAAACATATTTCAATCTATTAAGTTATTAGATTGTCGATAAAAGTTAACAGGACCGTATTCACTAAGTACTTAAGTCTTTAATATATTTTTTAGTCATTTTATTCAAAGACATAAGGTCATAATACGCCCTCAAAAGTTGCATCGAGGAGAACAATAATCATAAATAGTGCGCCCACGCATGTATTAGGCTAGCCTTTGCCTGCGACTGCGCTCGTCCATTTCCGTATTTATTTCCGTGATCCAAAAATATACAGTTACTTTTTAAAAATCTTGAATTCGTAAACACGACTTGTATGTGAAAAAATGGATACAAATTAGCAATAGCAAAATCTTTTGATTCGAATAATTGAATCCATCAGTCAATGAGAATGAATTGCACATATTTCATGCAATAAATAAAAATAGTAAACTGGGATATACTTATCTAACCACATATTTAGTTAATAACATCAACGCAAGGGCAACTCGTTAAAAACGAACTAAGTTCATTAAAAATCTGTTAATTGACTCGAACCATTAATTATTGAATCGCAAACGGGCGAACTGCGTATTTCCAATTCTCGTTTTAGTTTCGAACTGTGAAGTAACGGCTGAATCAGATTTTATAAGCTTATAATGATATGCATAACTCATGCTTAGGCTGGTTATGAACCCACTAATACCACGCGTCCGATGACACTCGGCTATTGGGCAGTATTTTATGAAGATTGGATGTAATTTACACCAATAAATTAATTTTTACAGGCATATGATATGCGGCAGAGGTAAGTAAAGAATATTCAGATGTTAATTATAGAGTTTCTTCTAGTAGTAATTGGTAGTATTAATAGAGGACTCTAGAAGAATACAATAAATAAATCTCAATACATACTTTCAGCAAATGTCAAGTCGAAAATAACTTTTGTCAATCTTAAACCTACAAAACTTACTGCAGATGTTTAAAGCTATACCTACTATACATTTTTAAATAACGTAGGTATGCTATTTCACTTTCGTGGAAAAGTCTGGTTTGCCGACGATAAAAATGTCAGCCTGCCGATTCATTGCTGGCTTGCTTCAATCGGCCCCCAAAACGGCCGTACGAACACAGCGAACATGCGCCGGAGTGGATTTTGTAGTGAAAGGTCGATCGGTTGAACAAACTGGTTCCAATGCTTCAGAATGCAAGTAACTGGATAAAAACACAACGTTAAGACAAACCAGTCGTGGGTGTAGTGCGGGCAGCGAAAGATTGCTTGAAGAGTCTGAGACATGAACTTTGAGTTGAAATGAACGGCCGTAGCATTATTATTTAACTTTTGTTTTGTATTTTCCTTTTGTTGACTTTTTATTACGTTGACCAAATTTGAATGAAAAGATTGCATCTTAGGTGAGAAAACCTCTTACATCCTTAGTAACCTTTTCCATCCTTGTTGATGATCGTACTAAGTCACTATTTAAGTCTCTACCTACGTGAAAATCAAAGATGTGGGTGCGAGTAAAATCTCATTAAAGTATTTTGCTTCTCCAAGTAAGGATTACTGCACATTCTGAGTACGAAATCTTTTTTAAAAAGAAACTAGAAATATTTCTGGGATCGAAACTAGCCTATCTATGGGATTATTTTTTGCTATTCTCTTGTATGTTATGACAGTAAAATAGTTTAGCTGACCACTCTCACTATAACAAATGGTTAGATCCAAATCGGTGCAGCCAACGCGACGACACATGAATGCTATCGTTCATGTCATCGCGGTACATTTGGGTCGACCGGACACCACAAACAGAGGTCTACTCCGAATTCCGAAAACGATCCATGTATTCGCATATCTATCTCTTCCACTCATTGCAATCTATGTTTACTGCGTGAGAGAGAAATTGACTTTACTTGACATATCGAAAGTACTCAAACGACTGGCCGGTGATTTCTACACCCAAATCTAACGGCCAAATTCAAAAACTAACACCCGTATTCACAATCATTACTATGAGGTCTCACAGTGCGCGTGGACGCACTGGGTGACACACGAACCAGTCACAGAGCTCTATTCAATGCTGTGCGTTCGATTTGCTGCTTCACTTAAGCAAGCATCGTTTGTGAATACGGGCGTTAGTATTACTAAGAATTTAGAAAGAATAAAACTAAAGTTGTCATATAAAAACGTATATATTTTGTCTGGAGACTGCGGAATATGACTTTACATGCAGGAGAAAATAACAGTTCATATAAACACGTTTCTGTTGCTACCCAAATTCCACATAGGCGATCCAGCAGGTTCATCAAGCCAACGTCAAGCCTTATAATTAAATCTGTATAATCTCGATGATACATATTAATGAGCAGAACCAATTCATTAGAACTTATCAGAACTTGAGCCTTAATAACTCAAAATATTTTAAAATAGTGATATCTCCGAGTTTCTAAATTCCTAAGCAAACGTATCATATGACGGTAACGATACACCTCTTCTGTATAACTACGGATAAAAAACGAGTCTATTATTTAGTCGAGCAGGTAAAATTTACCTTGCACCTTGAATACCTTATTATTTCTATAGAGTCACAGCCCTCACACAAAAAACTATGCTTTGTCTGGACACTCAAAGGTTCAGCGTAAAAGCGTAAATAATACTTTTAAACCTTAAGTTGGAGCATTAAGATACAATTTTGATTTTCTCTTGGATGAAGAGGCTTCACTATCTCCGCATCTTTTGTGTTTTACAAGTTACTAAAGGTTCCGAAAATGGAACTTCACATGGCAAAACCACACTTGACTAAAAGCTATGAAGAGCAGAAATATATGATACCTTTCATATTAGATTGTGTGATTGATTCGTGGTTTAAAATTAGTTTTTCAAATTGTAGGTATGTTATTTCGTAAACGGAACATCAACATGCGATCTAAAACAACTAAAACATCACAATTGTGTATTATTGTACGTTGTAAAAACAAGCTGATCAACGGTAAACTTGTGCGACAGAATCTAGTTATTTGTTGTCCACCGTCGGCTCTGGTCCATAGGTGCGTTTTTGTCGGCAACACAGCGTTCGCTGTGACTATTTTCATAGTTTAGTCACGAATAGCGGTGCTACGTGTGTCGTAGTGGCGTAAACTGGCTCTGCGCCCGCCCACACGGCACGCCTCTTCGTTACGCTCGGCTCCTAACATGTCGATCAGACCTACAAATACATTGTTTTTATTAAATGTATTGACAACCTCCCAATTAAATAGACCCGGTGTTGAACATTTATACACTGCCCCTAAAGCAAGCGCTATTTGATTGTTATCGGCAAAATTGATATAATGACGTAGATCAATCGATCGTTAAGCTCGATCATGATTCATATTTTTGCTAAAAATATTTCCTTCTTCGAAACATTTCTGAGAAAAATAAGCGTCATGCAGCAAAGCCTCGATTCTTAGTCTCTAATACTTCGAAAGTTATCTTAGATGTAACTTTAAAATAGTGCACCATCTTCATTAGATGTATCTTATTAATGTATCATTTTCTTTGTTTCAGTATGCATTGGGACGAACGGTCGCATGTCGGTTCCATCGAACCGAGACACCCACTACCGGAATCTTCGCGATCGCTTCACAAACTGTACATACGTCGACGGGAACCTCGAGCTGACATGGCTTGGAAACGAGAACATGGACCTCTCCTTTCTAAAGTACATCCGAGAAGTCACGGGTTACGTCCTGATTTCGTACGTGAACGTCAAGCACATTGTCTTGCCGCAACTGCAAATCATCCGCGGCAGGACACTTTTCAAACTCAATATCCGAGAAGAACAATTCTCTCTATTGGTGACCATGTCCACAGCATTCACACTCGAGCTGCCGGCACTGCGAGACGTCCTCCGGGGAAGTGTCGGCATCTACAATAACTACAATCTTTGCCATGTTAAAACCATAAACTGGGACGAGATCATTACCGGCACCAACGCAACATACGTTTATGCTTATGACTTCCAAGCGGCTGAAAGGGATTGTCCGCGATGCCATCCAAGTTGCGAAGCCGGCTGCTGGGGTGAAGGTCCCCAGAACTGCCAAAAGTTCTCTAAAACGAACTGCAGCCCCCAGTGTGACCAAGGTCGCTGTTTTGGCCCTAACCCACGGGACTGCTGCAATGCTTTTTGCGCTGGAGGATGCACGGGTCCTTTGCCTAGCCAGTGTCTTGCCTGCCGGAACTTTTACGATGAAGGAACTTGCTCACAAGAATGCCCTCGAATGCAAAAGTACAATCCCACGAATTATTCGTGGGAACCAAACCCTAATGGAAAGTATGCATACGGTGCAACTTGTGTTAGAAATTGCCCAGAGCATCTACTCAAAGATAATGGAGCTTGTGTGAGAAGTTGCCCGCCAAACAAGACAGCTGTGAATGGAGAATGCATACCATGCAATGTGACATGCCCAAAAACTTGCCGAGCAGAAAAACCGATTCATTCGGGCAATATTGAAAGCTTTAGAGACTGCACAATCATAGATGGTTCGATTGAGATTCTGGAAATGACATTTACTGGATTCCAGCATGTTAATCCCGACTATTCCTTTGGTGAGCGTTACCCAAAGATGGAGCCAGATGCGCTAGAAGTGTTCAGCACAGTGCGAGAAGTGACCGGATATCTGAACGTTCAGGCTCACCATCCCAATTTCACCAGTCTATCCTATTTCCGCAACTTAGAAGTTATAGGAGGGCGACAAGTGGTAGAGAACCTTTTTGCCTCCTTGTACATAGTAAAAACTTCTCTTGAATCCTTGGGACTGAAATCTCTGAAAAGAGTAAACTCTGGCGCAATAGCAATTATGGAAAACAGAAACCTATGCTTCGCTGACAGGATCGCTTGGAATAAATTGGTGAAATCTAAAGACCATAAACAAATCATACAGAACAATAGCGATTTGAGATCATGTGGTGAGTTAGCTATGTCATAGTTTTAATTTATGAGGATCCTCATAGTTTACACTTAGACATAAGTAATTTAAGCCTGAGCGACTTGTCATTTGATTTTTTATGATTCCCTTTCATTTATTTATGATTTTCTTTCCATTTTTGTAAATGTTCTATTTGTCTCATTTTGCAAGCGAATGCTCCTAATAAGTTTCATAACAACTAACCCAACTAACTGCAAATGCTATATTAAGCTGTGCGTTTCTTTAATCCCGAAAAGGACCAATGAATATGAACCTTTCACCACAATAATTCACATTCTTTGGTCTCTGACTTAATTTATTTTCATCAAAAAACACATAAGGAAGCAGAACGATTTTTCTGCTTTCATTACCAGTATTAATTTTGATGTGTTTTTTGTAGAAACAATTGAGTTTTCGGGAACGACAACAGCGAATTTTATTTCTTGTTCTTATAAATACATTATTTAACAGAAAAAGCAAACTTGGTGTGCGATCCTCAATGCTTGGCGGACGGCTGCTGGGGACCCGGACCTGATCAGTGCCTCTCCTGCCTAAACTACAAGTTTGGCGAAATATGTATCCAGAACTGCAGTGTGAAACCTGGGTAGGTGTTTTCTCAGTATTAGTAGAAGCACTCAAATAATAACGAAATTATAGCTAAGCGAATATCACACACAATAAAAACAATTGCCTAAAACCATGCACTACTCAAAACCCACAGACCTTCTGAATCTTGCAAACTTATTACCATAACAAAGCCGGATAGCGCGTAGGTAGACTTCTGTACCGGTTTCACCTCAAAATACTTGCCGACCTCATTATACAATAAGTAGTAACCGCTCTCTACATTTTGTTACATTAACATTGTAATGCAAGTTTTATTACTCTCATTTCAGGTTGTACAAAGCGGGTCCGAAGACTTGCAGGCAGTGTGATGCAGAATGCTTAGATGGCTGTACAGGACCAAGTCCCGCGAACTGCACCAGGTGTAAGAATGTTCGCGATGGCCCATTCTGCGTCGCCGAATGCTTAGAAACAAGATACCCTTCAGAGAACGGCACGTGCGAACCATGCCACGTCAACTGCCACAATGGCTGCACTGGACCAAAGAATACCGTAGGCGAAGGAGGCTGCAACTCTTGCAAAAAAGCCATTATTAGCGTAGAAGCAACGGTTGAGAAATGCCTGGCTGAGAACGAACTGTGCCCAGATGGGTATTATAACGAGTGGGTAGGCAACGTCAAGCCTTTAGAAGGCAAAGTAAAAGTCGTCTGTCGCAAGTGTCACCCACTGTGCAAAAAATGTACCGGTTTCGGTATTCACGAGCAAGTCTGTAAAGTCTGCAATGGCTTCAAGAGAGGTGACCAATGCGAGGAAGAATGTCCCACAGACCATTTCACCGACGAGGAATTCAGGACATGCACACCGTGTCACAGCGAGTGCCGCGGTTGCACAGGTCCCTCCTCCACTGATTGTATTAAATGCCAAAATCTAAAAATTTTCCTTACTGAAGGCAATAACTTTGACAACACTTCAGCTTTCAATTGCACAGATACGTGCCCAGAAAACTTTCCTCATAAGATATTCTTTGACGAATTGTTACAAAATCCGATCGACGAACCTTACTGCTCAGAGTTAGCCAATGGTCTCATCCCTAATTTGACGACAGCAAGGACTCCTACAGTTCTAATCATAATCCTGGTTTTAGCTTTATTGCTTTTGGTGATTCTCGGTATAATAGGTTATACCTGTCGTCAAAAAGCAAAAGCTAACAAAGAAGCAGTAAAAATGACTTTAGTACTGACTGGATGTGAAGACAACGAACCTTTACGACCGACAAATGTAAAGCCAAACTTAGCCAAGCTGAGAATAGTCAAGGAAGCAGAACTTCGCCGGGGTGGCATGCTAGGTTTTGGAGCATTTGGTAAAGTGTACAAAGGTGTTTGGGTGCCAGAAGGCGAAAACGTCAAGATTCCTGTAGCCATAAAAGTTCTGAAAGAAGGCACCGGTGCCAATTCTAGCAAAGAATTCTTAGAGGAAGCTTATATCATGGCCAGTGTAGAGCACCCTAATCTTTTGCAATTATTAGCAGTTTGTATGACCAACCAGATGATGCTTATTACCCAGTTGATGCCTCTAGGGTGTTTACTTGACTACGTAAGAACACACAAAGAGAAAATAGGATCCAAAGCATTTTTGAACTGGTGCACCCAAATTGCGCGAGGTATGTCATATTTAGAAGAGAAGAGATTGGTGCACAGAGATTTGGCCGCAAGAAATGTTTTAGTACAAACGCCGAATTGTGTTAAAATTACAGATTTCGGTTTAGCAAAACTATTAGACATAAACGAAGACGAGTACAAAGCGGCTGGAGGCAAAATGCCCATCAAATGGTTAGCGTTGGAATGCATTCAGCATAGGATATTTACGCACAAGAGTGACGTTTGGGCTTTCGGTGTCACGATATGGGAAATACTAAGCTATGGCGCTCGCCCATACGAGAACATATCGGCGCGGAATGTGCCAGAATTAATTGAAAATGGCCTGAAATTACCACAACCGGGCATATGCACGTTGGACATTTACTGCATAATGGTCTCATGTTGGATGTTGGACGCCGACAGTAGACCGACATTCAAGCAGCTGGCTGACACCTTTGCGGAAATGGCGAGAGATCCGGGCAGATATCTCGTTATTCCAGGAGATAAATTCATGCGTCTCCCGTCCTACTCTACTCAGGTAAATATTTAGATACTCTTTTTTACTCTTGATCAGATACAATTCATAATGTGGTTGCAATGTGGTCACTGAATATAACTAACTGTAGCAGTTTAGTTCGTCGACTAATGTCATAATTCTGATTGTTGAGTAAACTTATTTGACATAATTACTTACCTACCTTGTTATTTACGGTGATATGTTTTCTTATTTCAGGATGAGAAGGAGTTAATAAGGAACTTATCCTCAGCCATGGAAGGTCCCGAACCACTCGTTGAAGCAGACGAATATCTGCAACCCAAGTTCCAAACGGTTCCTGGTACCGCTACTACGTCAGTAGTCAGTGTCGGGATATAGACACAAACGAGCTCTCTTAAACCGTGCACATCATCTTCGTGGGCTAACAATGTCACAAGCCCAGATGGCGTGAACACAGACGGTTCCAACAAACCTGAAACGTGGGACCACGAGTTCATCATCATCATCATCAACAGCCCTTTACAGTCCACTGCTGGACTATGAGCCTCCTCCACTATGGTGGAGGGATTTGCCATAATCTCCACGCTTGGCAGGCGGGTTGGAGATCGCAGTTTAAAAGATTGATGTTTTTCAGAGAGCGCTGCTGCCCATTCTCTGTTTGTTGTGTAGTCCCTAAGTCGCCTCTTACGACACCCGCGGGAAGAGNGGGACCACGAGTTGCTAAGATACAACCAAACCAACCCAGATGGCTCAGAACTACGACACTACTACAACCACGGCGTATGTGCCTCAGACAGCTCCAGCTCAAGGTATTGCAGCGACCCTATGAAGGTCCGCGCGGAGTGCACTTTAGAAGCTAACTTCGACGCCATGTCGAAAGCTAAAGAAGCACAAGTGGGGAACCTGAAGTTGAATTTGCCACTGGTCGAGGACGATTATTTGATGCCTTCGCCACAGCACAATCAGAACGCATCGACGTATATGGACTTGATAGGGGAGGGCGGGGAAATTGAGGAAGGTCAAGACGAGAAGGAGTTGCGTTATAGCAGTTTCGTGGGACCGAAGCGGTGTGTGGATAACCCGGAGTACTTGATGTCGGAGGAGAACGTGCCGGCGCAGACTCTGGGTATCCCTACGGAGCCGGTGCCCCTGGAGTCGCTGTGCGCGAGCGAGGGCAGCGGGAGCGAGAGCACGCCGCGGCCCGGCACCAGCAAGTACCTGCCGCAGCGGTCGGTCGAGGAGGAATCCATGTCCGACCACGAGTACTACAACGATCTCCAGCGCGAACTGCAGCCCCTCCGAAGAAACGAGACCACAGTGTGAGTGCAACATTGCCACAGTGTGATATTACAACGTATAGACTGATCTCCCGCGACTATTAACTCTAAAGTAAGCGCGCCCGCGCACCCCCTGTGCCATTGGTGTGATGGCTAGTGTTAGCTTGTTGATATAAATCGACTAAGAATTTTATTAGTTTTTAAGGACCATTTTTGTTAAATTTTTCTACCTAAAAATGTAAAGGAACTGTTATAATATGTATTAGTAATATGCATAAAATATTATTTCATTTTAGGTGCTCGCACGATGCTCTTAACAATATATAAGTTATTTATTAATTTAGTTATAAGGAAGGCTATGTTTACGTTACTCGTATGCTGTAGCGTTAAGTAGCTAGGCGAGTGTTATTTTTATTTTAAACTGTGATAATTAGTTTAATTTTAATACGACGGAGACCATGAAACGAGCTGAGTGTAAAAGGCTTGGTAGGGACGTATTGGTAGATGGTGTTGCCATTGACTATGTACTTAAGAGGAGCCGCAGTTGCTTAGTCTTTTTCAGCGGATTTTTCTGTTTTCTTGCCATTTAATAGCACTAGAGCAAAGATTTAGCGCTATTTTAGGAACTAAACAGGAATAATGTACGTTTGTATGACTAAGTGCTTTCTGAAATTTCCTCTTAAGTCCACGTAGGATGCGTGGACACGAGCGGTCGCTCAAATACATTCACAAACCCATTGTGAATATTTAAATAATATTCCATAAACATTCCTCTTGTAAAACTACAATTTCCACGATCATAAACGATATATTCCAATCTCATTCCTCTAATATCGTTAAGTAACGAATAAATACTTAGATGAATTTATAATTAATCTCCATTATCAAGCAAGCCAGTAATCATATTCTTGCCGTTTAATATTGATTTTAATCAATAGCTAATACATGCATTTTAGCTAACTTGCCTTTTACTCAGTCTACGTGCAAATTTCAATTTGTATATTATTTCTTATACTTGTACATATACATTATTTGTTTAATATAAACTGTAAACTTGATAATTTTTTACAGCAGGCCACAAAAGACATAAATTTTAAGTTAACTATTATTATTTTATATGAGCTGTCTTTTAGCACAAAAAAGCTCAAATTCCCAACTTAATGCAAATATAACTATTACATTTTACCTATTATTAATTAGTTAAGTGTTTGTTTTATAGTTAGACCAAACCACATTTGCCATGTATTTGTAAATAATATTAAATTGCTACGCTATTGTACATAAAAGTAGTGATCAGATATCAAATTATTGTATGTACTTGCATATAAAATAAAGTTTTTAAATGTAATATAATGAATCATCTGCTCTTTTGAAGCTCTAAATTTTATTGTGCCATCGAATATGAAATAGATATAAATCTACGGATAAATATAAAGACAAATTATATATGCTACTTGTTTTAGTCTGCGTCAGTAGAGTTAGGTCATCTTCGTAATAATAATTACTTATTAAAAATCTACTTAAAATATTGGATTGTCTCAGTGATCTCAATGTTTGCAGTCAATTTTATTCACATCACTATAGACAATGACAATTCAGTGTATATGTATGTTAGTCGTCATTTGTTGCAAGATAGCTAATTTCTATTGTAGCGGACTATGTTTATATGCATGACATAAAGTCATATGTTGTTGTATGTTGATGTCATGTATAAGTAAACATATTATTGTGTTGCACGATTGCATTTCGTCGAATACAAATGTATGATAAGTTTTACATGGCTAACATATTGTTTGTGTGTAGATATACTATGCGTCTTGGGGTAACGACGCGATTTATGTTGGTACTTGTACCTTTATAAATGAAAATTAAATAAACACGTCTGTTTTATTTCATTCCTTACTCTTTAGATTTATTTTTGAACCTCTATTTCCAGTAGGGGCTATACTCGTATTTAAATAGGAACACCGTTAAAAACATTTTAAACACTCAATACATAACTACCTATGTATAGGTCTCGCATCTTTCGAAAAATAACACTACCTTTGTTAAATAATTAGATATTCATGAAAACTATTTTTATTACTATTCACAAATAATTTCTTAACGTAGGCCTCTCACACACTTGCGTCTTGTCGTCGAGTCAAACGCGCGCGGCGCTTGCGCAGCCAACACAGCCTGAGCCCCGATTACGGTCTTGGTCAGCGTAATGATCAAAACAGCGTACGTCAGCTGTTTTGACCAATCGTATCGCAGAATCGATGAAGCGCGTCTGGATTGGAGACGTTAAAAATTACCGTAATCGGGGCTCATGCAATTTGATCACATTAAATTTTTCTTTAATTTAGAAACTTAATGCCTGTAAATCAGCCTTTATAAACTTGTCTAAAAAAGTGCTGCGCGGGTGCTGTCAGTCAACGACGCTGTGGGGTCCTAAGCTCCAAAAATACCACAATTTTATGTTATGTATGAGTCATAGTCAAAATTTTCTTAAATATAGATAGACCTTAAAATAAAGAAAACTTAAAATTAGTAATCCGTACTCTCCTGGCACATCTGCAGCGGTTCTGCATACTCAAAACAAGGGTGTCAATATCCTGTTGTGGAATACTGTCCCAAGACCTGCTAAGATTCAAGAAAAGTTGGTTTTCATTTATTTATTTATTTATTTTATAGAAACCAACAGCGATACATTAAAGATGTTAGTATAAGATTTAGACTGTACATGCACAATATCTTTAGGGAAATTCCTAAGAGCTCTTTTCTGAAGTATATCCCAGGCATGGTCAAAAGGATTTAAATCAGGGGATTGTGCAGACCAGTCGCAACGGCGCCTGCTCTGAGTTCCATTTTTTCCGTGGCAGCATGTCTGGTAAAACTTCTCGCACCCATCTTTTCCAGAACATGTATGCTAAGCGTTGCGCCTTCGCCACTGCTTCCTCAGATGTAAGTCGATTTCATCAAAGTCCCCGATACAAGACAGATTTGAATATCTTACCAAAAGAATATGATTCGGCGTTAACGACTCTCTCGTTGTCTGATCCACTGACACATGAGACAATGGGCGACTATTGACCATGTTATGTTCTCCACCTCCGCCATTAACGTCGAGAACGTTTCCTCTTTTAGGGCTCTCTCTCCGATGACAATTTTAAGTCACGTTTCTGCAAGGCAGTTTAGGCGTACACTGACTGGAATTAAGAGGTCGTAATGGCCAGTGCCGCGAATGCCATTCTTCTTAGACCCATTATTAGGGAGTCTGGAGACAACGATGGGACTATATCTATGTTTACTGCACGAAAGTTTAAGCAGGTAAATAACGCGCCATACCTTTTTTCGCGTCGCCTTCCTACAGCTACGAGTACTTCCTTGGGCCCGAAAAGGTCTAGTCCGCAGCAAGTAAATGGACGATTATGGTGCGCCAACCGAGAATGTGGAAAATCTCTCATACGTGGAATTCGTGGAGTGCATTTTCTTATTCTGCACAACATGCACTGCGACACCACAGTTTTCACGGAAGGTCTTAAGTTAACAATCCTATATTTTTGCTTCAACTCATTGACGACGGTTTCTTGATTTCCATGAGCGGCCTTCACGTGATGGTGCCTCACTATAAGGCGTGCCACGCGGTGTCGTCCATCCAGTATGACGGGCCTTTTCATCTCCAAGTTAACATCTTCTGCTGCGTCAATTCAACCTATAACTCTAAGCAAACCCTGCTCATCTTCAAAGGGAGTTAAGGTTAGTAACCGGCTACTGCGATCTACACATTTTCCATTCCTTAATGCCGTGATCTCATCGCTAAAGGTGTCCATCTGCGCCTGTTTTATCAACAGTTATTTCGCTTGTCTCATTGTATCGCAATTTACCGGTAAGTCCTCATAACTAGTCAATAAACTTGAGTGCGACCGCGTAGCTCTTACCAGGCAAAGAGAAACGATCTGGATCAGGCACAGGTAAGGCCTCAAGTGAATTTCCCATAACCATGACGTAACCCGACTGCATTTGTTCTGTTTCAGATTGAACCATACCTGCGGGCCATGATGTTTCAACGCCGTACAGGAAAGAAGGCCCCGTGAACCATTCGCCGCGAAAATAATTCGTCGAGTATGTTCGTGACTATCTCCGTAGAAGCGTTCTGTTGCCTTAGCTGAACAGTAGAGTTGAAAACTGGATAATGCAGCAACTTATGATGAGGTAGACCACAGTTGACAACTCCATAGAACGACCGGTCGTCCAGGGAAAAGTCGAAGGAACCCGATCGCGTGGCAGGTCACCAATGCGCTGGACCGACCAAGTGAAAGCAGCAGTGGGAGACGGCTTATGTGACTGCACCAGACAGTCTGCCTATAGAGAGAGATGGAGGGAGATCGTGCGGAGAGTTGTATCCGCCTCTACAACCGATGTGAACAACGCCTCAACGTGACCACGACCGCTCTGCCAAGAGCGTAACGACTAAGAAGACCACAGTTGTCTACGTCGCACACCGGCGCAGTGCAAGTTTCTCTGCTGTGACGGGATGACGAGCCATTTGAAACTGAGTCCGCTGCGCTTCAGGCTTTAGTAAAGCGCTTGCATTCCAACAGCGTATGGTTTGCTTCAGGTAGCGGGAAGGCGCTGGATGCAGGCCGCTACCAACCATGCGATGTGGAAGTCATTGGGGGAGGCCTATGTTCAGCAGTGGACGTCCTGTGGCTGAAATGATGATGATGATGATGATGATGGTTTGCTTTAAGACAAAACTGACATTTGTTGACATCTTGTTGTTCAGACTGTAACAACACTGCTTGCGGACGGTTGGTTGAAATGTCACGTAGTCAATACTTGGTCTGGTAGTAGCGTGATTCCATGCAGTAGGTATTGGACGTAGTCGATATCTTTATAGCTTCTTCTTTTAGAAAATTTGATAGCATAAGCAAGCGAGGCATCTTTCCTTCAGTGATCAGTGGAAAACTAAAGTCTGACCATTTTGATACGAGGACTGTCGGTAGTTTTNCCCCTGGCGTCGCTGTGCGTGAGCGAGGGCAGCGGGAGCGAGAGCACGCCGCGGCCCGGCACCAGCAAGTACTAGGGCATGCAAACCGGTTAACCGGATAACCGAAAAACCGGATAACCGACACAATTTGGAACTCGGTTTTTGTCAGTTATAAATCCGGGTTTTTCGGTTTTTCTTCTACGATTTTAGATAATTTAATTGCTCATACAAGAACATGCTTCTTTAGTCATATCAATAAAAACAATTATTGTAATGCAATGTGAATGAGTAGAGTATAGTCTATAGGCTATGGTATTGAACTAAAGTACCATGTATCTTCTAGCTAAAGCTACACTCAACATCAAATAAACCGCACCTTCCGCGACGCGAACTTTAAAGATTTTCTTCTGACACAATCATGGTACCCCAACAATATTGGTGTTATTTGAAAGCCCAATAAATATCCTTAAAGAAAAATACATTTAATTTCTTAATAAATGATTAACATATACCATAAATGTGACTTGAAAAAATACCTCACTTTGGGCCCACCTATGGGATCAATTAGACCAATTTTGATGGTTATAAAACCAAATAATGATTTCACGTGTCCTCTTTAACAGCTGATGGATAGCAATTAAACCCAACTTAACAGTTTTATAGCCATAAAAGTTGGCTCTAGCGTAACTACCTATTTTTTGAAGAAATGACTCTGGATCCTTCTAAAGACACATTTTTGGGGTAAAAACCTTTCCTTTAATGAAATGAAGTTTAGAACTAGGCTTTCAAATGGTACCAATGTTGGTGGGAAGTGGGGATGCTGCATACGTTTGATAAGTGCTTGTCGCGGGAGGTGCGATTTATTTGATGCCGAGTGTATAAGCGCGCGGGCGCAAAATGGAACGCGCTTTGTATTTGACCATTGCCGCCATTATTTTTGCTTTGCTAGTCTCTGTCAGTGTCAACTTACATATTATTTAATTAAGCATAACTATGACCAAATGTTCTTCTTCTTTTTTGATGATGTTGGCAATACACCAATGNCAGCCGCCATTGGTTCTCTTTAAGTGTGAAGTTCCATACTTCAGCTGACTCGTAGTATGATTCTTTAAATGGTAGCCATTCTATCGGGTCTCCGTAAAATTCTGGAAGATCTCGTGGCGTGCATATACGGCTAATAGGTTACCGTTGTTGGTGTTTGCAGCAGAGATAGCCGCAATGTCTCTAAGTACAGCGGCCAACATGTGCACCGTGCCAGCATTTTTTCATAAGTGCTGACTCTTGATGTGGTACTGAAGAGCACAACTTGTCCGGTTGGGGTCCATTATCGTGGACAAGTTGCTCCTTTTCATGTTGCTCTCACACTATCGGCATTCTCGTGAAGCCGAAGGCTATTTGCGGAATATTCATCCTCAAGTTCCGCAATATCCGCCTCCAACTGCTTGTCAAGTAAATCCATAGCGATTTCGGCCTTTTGTTTCGCAGTTTCGTATTCAAGCCGTTTTTTCCTAGCTGCTATAGACGATTCCGAGACTTTAGAATTTGCTATGCTATTATGCACGACTATACTATTATGTACGGAAATGTCATTGTGACGTGCCATATTTTGTACCTCAGAGTCGTCGGAGGGCTGAATCTCCTGCTGTTCGCTTCGAGTTGCGCTCCGTGTATTCACCATTCTGGGTGGCGTAAAAAACATTGGATCCGCCTGGACCCGGCTCGAAGATTGTAATTGTAAGCCACCAGAGTATCCACGAAGTAGTTTAGAGAAAA